ATGTCAGAAATACACATAGTCACAGGCCTTCGCCTGTAGATACAGTTAGAGGCCAGAAATCCTGGAATCCTGACCTCCTTGTCCTGGGCAGTTTCCAGGAGATTGCTCAGGCATTGACACCATTTCTAATGATGTCTCTGTAAGAAAGAGTGTTTTGTGTTTTTACTTAGATCCCTGAGACCTTCTGTATTAGTGGCACCAGATATCTCCTGTGTCCTCCTATGCTGAGCCCAGCTCGGGGCTGGAGGGCAGAGGGAGCATGGGAATACAGGGCACTGGGGGACCCCAGAGAGATAGGGAGCGGTTTGCATGAGGTTTCAATGATATCATCACCTCTGTACTTCTCTGTAGCTCCCTGTATGTCTGTGTGTCCGTTTCTTTCTCTCAGACACAGGTAAAGTTCCGAAAGGTGCACAGTAAATGCTTCGGTGATGCTCCCAGTTTTAGGGAATGATACAGTGCTGCCTGTATAGGCTATAATTTGGAATTTGACTATTTGACAGTGAGTGTGTACTCATATGTGAGTCTGTAGTAAATAATAACAATGGCAATCAAAGCTGGCATAAGGGCCAGGAGACTTGACGCCAGAGGCCTGTGCTGTTCCATTCCGTTTCCCTGCCTGGAGACTTACAGTGGAGGGACTTGCCAGGAGCAACACTAGGAGAGCGAGGATGCTCTGGATGGCAGCTGGTGCCAGAACAGTCTTCATGTTAGCCAGAGCCTGTGACTTCAGCCCCCTAGCTGGACTGACTTTCCTTGCCCCTTTTGTGGAGGGCCTTGAGTATCAGGAGCGGGCCAGCTCTAGCTGACCACTTCTGCTGCCATGGGCAGACACCAGGTACCTATGGTCATATCCTGCCACTCCCACGGGCCTCCTTGAGTCAAAGGGCCCAGTCACCCTCCTGGTCTCCATCCCAGTTTGTAGCTGTCTTCAAGGAAGGCTGGGAGCAGAGGGCTTGTTTCTTTTTGAGTCCCCAGGGCAGGCAGGGAGGCTGGAGGTCCAGCTAGGGCCTGATTGTTTTGCAGATCAGAAGTGCTGATTTGTTTACATAGTTGTCTTGAGGTTTTCCTTTTGAATAGTGTAGATTAGCTGCTTAAAAACTGGCAGATAATTCATAGGAATTTTGTGCTCAAACCGCAAACTTCTGCGGATTTTCCTTGAGCCGAATACATCATTTTCCCTTTGAATTCTTTTGTTAAGGATGAGAGCACAGTAATTGGACCTAAAAATGTATCCAAATTATAGCATCTTCATCAGAATTAGCTGACAACATAATTATGATTGTATTTCAGGGTACAGATACATTTTTCATATTAGTCACTATAAAAGTGAAAGTGGCTTCGGTGTTGTTATTTTGTCAGACTAACAGTTCTTCCTCTTTGGAGGTGGGGGATGTGGCGTAATCTGGTGCCCTCTTTGTGTGCCTTGGCATTTAGCTCTTTACCTGCTGCTTTCAAATATCCCAGGAAGCACACGGTCACCCTCCCTGTCTGGGGCTTTGTATTCAAGAGGGTGTACCATGTGCTATGCTGTAGACTTCTGGGACATCCCATTTTTAAAGACAAGATTAGACTGTCAGCAGCAAAGCATAGCCACCGGCCCACACATCTCCTGTATCTGAGCTGCTCATGTCTGGTCAGGGGTAGCCTTCCTACTGCTGGGCCCGACTCCTCTCCTGTAGACCTGTGTCTCAGGCCTTCCTCTCTGTTCTCAGCCTTAGATAGGCCTCCTCCATCACAGTTTCACCCCCAGGGTACTAGGACACTCCCACCCCTCTCTTTGCCGCAGGCCACTTACTGTTTTTCAGGTGCACTGAGGTCACGTATTCTCAAGGGCAGGTGTAATAGGGCTCTGTGGGGTGGGGGTGGGAGGCATGCAGAGAGCTTGTGGAGCTCATTTGCGGGGGGCCTCAGGGTGGACACTGAGCACGAGGCCATCCCTGCTGGACCTTCCAACCACAGCTGCTTCTTGTCTTTGCTCATGACCATCTGACTCTCTGGGAGCTGCCAGTCCCTACCGCAGTGATTGTGCCCAGTCCTAGGAGTTCTGCACGTGTTCGCACAGGCCCTGTGCAGGTAGCAGGTGCACTCATTTATCCTGTGCCTGCCTCCCCACTGCCGTGTCGCTTGTCTGTTTTTTCCCTTGTGTCTGCACATTGCCCGATTTCCTGCAGCTCTGAACTCCAGCCATCCCCTGGCTGCGAAGTCTCTTCTGCCCCTGGTGGCCTCTTTTGCTCCAGGCCTTCTCCACTACGCCCCATCTCAGGGCCACAATGCACAGCTGAACCTGCAGTTGTGTGAGTCATCTTGGGTCTCAGTGCCCATCTCTGCCTCCACCCCGAACTCCAGACCCTGCCCTCTGCCTAACAGAGTTCTGTATACAGAGAGCACTGGAACTAAGTGCTTACCCTAAGTGACAGCAGGTGGCCAAGGTGCTACCTTGGGGCGCCAAGGCCTTAAGCACTAGTGTAGCTGATTGCTAGTTCCTTCCCAGTCGTCTCTGGCAAAAGTAGTTGTGTTTATTTATCCCTCCAGGTGATGTGTGGTGTGCCCTTGAGGAACCAAGGATACTTGGAGGCCAGTTGGGAAATTATAGACCACAAGACACAGTTATTCTGTGATGTTCCTTGGTGTGTCTGTCTTCTGGGTGAAATGTTTGCCTTCTCTTGGTGGGGCTGGCCTTTGATTCATCCCCGGGTCCCCAGGACTAGGATGGGGTTTGTGGCTCCTGCTCAACAGGAGCACCAGTGACCAGGCATGAGGTTGGTAAGTGAGTAGGAATTGGCTCTTCACTGCCACGAGTTTCATTTTGACATTGCGGGGTATAGGCCTAAGTAGTTTAGCTTTAACTTGGAGAAACTCAGTCAGCTTGTGGTGTACAGTCAGACGTATCTGTGTCAAGGACAGGCAACAGTGTTTGGGCTCTGCTTCCTGCGCACTGTGACTGGAGCAAGTTGCTTCTCTTCTCCCAGCCCCCAGTTTACTCCCCTGTGGGCAGGGGGAATTACAGACCCTTTGCAGGTAAATCATAGCCTTGATGTAGGAAGGGTGTTGTAAACAGTGTGGTCTCCTATAAAGAAAAGAGTATTGCTGAAAACTCTTCATGTTTGGGAATCATTTTGGGTTCCTTTGGGGTAAAACATTATTGGCAAAAATATTGATTGCTAGAGTTTCATTGACACAGCAATGTTCTGCTTTGTTAAATTTCCATTTTATGTATTGGTTGGTAAGAAAGAATTCCCTGAGGTCATTACCACTCTGCCTGCTCAAGATCAGGCCCTTTCTGTGACTCCAGAAAGGGCATCACTCTGGGGACTCCAGTACCTTGGGGATCCCTTCTTCATCCCAACAAAGCCTCAGTGGCCTTTCGCCTTTTTTGTGTCTTCTCTTTCTGGTAGGGAAGTTTTGCTATAAGGAGAAGGATAAAAGTAGGGTTGGGAGAGGGAGGGAGTGCGGATCAAGAGAGGTGTTCATTGTAAGGTGGAAAGATGGAGAGTATGTTTGCTGGCCAGTGGGGGAGATCCAGTAGAGAGGGAGACATTGATCCAGAAGCAGAAGTGACCAAAATGACATTGGTGAGTGGGTGAGAGGGTCGGGTTGTGAACACATAGTGGCCTTCTGCAAGGAGTCTTGAGAGCAGGCTTCTTCGGTGTAAGTGGAGAATTTAAAGGTGACCACCGCACCACTTCAGTGTTGCCTAGGTTTTTATCTCCCTGAGCCAGGCATTGTGGACACTGTCAGTGATGAAAAGACCCTGCTCTGGGTAGACACTGGCCTACCCTTACCTCTTTGATGCCACTCTGTGTGTGGATCCTTGCATCAGCAGAGGCAGGAAACAGGTGAGCAGTAGGTATGGTTGGAGACACTGCCTCCTGGGAAGCAGGAAGCCCCGGCAGTTGCTGCAGGTGGGGAGGAGGAGGGATGAGAGGTGTACTGGCATAGACACATCTCCTCAGGTAGAGGTGTCTATCTATTGTGGATGAAGAGCAAATGTAGAAATCCTGTGGGATTGCCACGCATGTTGAGAGTACCCTGGGACCACTGAAGAGGGTTAGTGGTAGCCAGGCAGCGTGGTATAGGTTTCTGCTGGTTCTGAATGGCTGTGGGCACAACCAAGGTGCACCAAGATGGGCTGGACCAGCTGCAGTTCCTGCTGCTGAAGAGGCTCATAACCTGCTCTTCTTGTTTAACTCCACTGACATAGAGATCACGCCAGCCTCCCCATGGTCTCCCAGCTTTGTGGCATTTAGGGACAATAGTTGAGAATTTAACCTCTGTCTGGCTGACTTCAAAGCCATCATCCTTTTCCTCATACCAATTCATCTTTTCAGTGTAAATGTAAAAATAACAACGAAAAAACCTGGCTTGTTTTGGATCCTATGTGCCTATAATTATTTCATCAGACTCAAAAATGAATGTTTTTACTCATTATGTCTTCCTGCTTAGTATAATGGAAGGAACATAATGGACTATTAGTACATTTTGTGAACAGTGATAATGCTTAAATAAGAATTAGGTGGCTTTAAAAAGCAACAGGTCCCTATTCTTGTTTTGTTTGTAGTTACTGTGTCAGTCATCAAAAGGTGCATTAGCTCTTGAGAAATGCTACTTTGGTCAGTGTTTCCATGTACCTGATTTGCCAAGGAGTCTAGCTGGGTGTATGAGTGCTATCTGAGTGGCTCACTGTGTGAGTGCAGGATTTAATCAAATGCCAGGTTAGCATTGAACTTGGCTGTGCTCTGCTGGGGTCTGAGCTTGAGAGTAGATTGGGTTAGAGGGAGGCCCCCGCTAGATACTCACTGTCCAGAAGGACAGAGACTTCACAACACTGAAGAAAGACTTATCTGGCACCCAAGGCCATCCAAGACATCCACAAGAGGGACACAGTCTGTCAGAGGCTGGAAGTTGTGCGAGTAGCCCTTAGTGTTTTCTTTGGTAGCTGGAAGTAATCACTGTTGATGTAGAAGTGGAACAAAATATTTTTTTTTCTTTCCTTACAGAAAACACGGCCATTTTCATGTGTAAATGTTGTAATCTTTTCTCGCCAAGCCAATCGGAACTACTGTCCCACGTCTCTGAGAAGCACAGGGATGAAGGAGTTAATGCAGATGACATCATTATTCCCCTGAGGCCTCTGAGTACTCCTGAACCCTCCAACCCCAGCAAGACTGGAGATGGTAAGGGCAGCTGGCGCGCTGGGCTGGGGCCTGTGGATGCTGATACCTTCTTAAGTACTGCGACACCAGTTATCTGTTTTGTAGGCACGCTGAAGTCACAGTAGTTGTGCAATTATAGATTTCTCTATGTCAAATTATGTCTTTGCACTGCCTATCCTGGGCCCTATTGTAGGTACTTCTCCAATATCTGGTTGGCAAGTAAATGAATGAAGGTAGAAATAGCCAGTGGCATGAAAAAGTGAGCTTGTCACCAGACCAACGTGGCTCAAACCTAACTCAGGCATCTGTCAGGTGAAATACTTGAATGATGTCATTCTCCAAACCTCACTTGCTTACCTGAAACATGAAGACAAATATGCAGATTAAGTCAGAGGATATAAATATAACACCTAGGATGAGACAAGAAGACAATAAAGGGAGGATATTGTTTTATACGATCAATAAATTAGTATATGTAATCTTAGAAGGAACATTTCCAATCTGATACTGTAAACATGGAACAAGAATTCGAATTGCAGAGTTTGAGTCCTGCAGAATCCTTTAGGCTCACAATGTTTAAAGTGAGGTATATCTGGTCTGCTGTGTCCAGACATCTCCCACTGAATGGTATCTGATGCAGCAGGTGTGTGGATAGAGAAGCAATCCAGACACTGTAATTAGGTCCCCACAGACTACAAAGAACATATATATATATAGTACAGGAGGCACAGCTGCAAACAAGTTTGGAAACACTTCCCCAATCTATTTTTATTAGATGAGGAGCAACAGCCAGTCTCCTGTGCAGCAACCCAGTACGTGGTGGTGATTGTCCCCTTGCAGGATTCGTTAGCTACACTAATAATCCAGTTGCTCTTTCTTGGGAATATCCAGATTGGCATTTCTAAACAGTCTGGCTTATTGATCATCTGTTGGACACTGTTAATAAGGAAAGACTGCAGACAAAACATGTTTGGTTAATAAGCCCCTCTGGCCCATTCCCAGAGTGCTCAAGAAATATACCTGACAGAATAAAATTATTTAGAAGCTGGGAAATTCTGCTACTTACTCTTAGTGGCATAAGATGAGACACTAAGAAAATCTAGCACTTGAAACTAGTAATGGCAAATAAGGGGGATTATTAGTATTTATATCATAATCACCATCAGCTAGTGTTGATGGTGTGCTTTAGCTCCTCATGGACCTTGTGAGGAGATCTATCTTCCTACTGAATTATCTTGATACTCTTGTCTAAAATCAGTTGACAAATACGTATGTATTTAATTTTGGACTCTTATTTTGTTGATCTATTTTAGTCCTTATGCGACTGCCATATTGTTTAGATAATCATAGCTTTATACTAAGTTTTAAAATATGTATGTGTGCAGGGGAGGGGTGTGAATCTTTCAAGTCTGTTCTTTGTCAGAATTGTTTTGGCTTTTGAGGACTGCTTGTAATTCCAGAATAATTTTAGGATAAGCTTATCTATTGCTTCAAGGAAAGGTAGTTGGAAATTTAATAATATTTCTTTTGGGTCTGTGGCTCAGTTTGGGTCCTGCTGCCATCTTAACAATATTAAACCTTCCATTTCATGCTTTTTATTTATTTGGGTCTTTAAATGTCAGCATTGTCTTGTAGATTTCAGTGTGCAGGTGTTATACCTCCTTAACACTTTTATTCATACATGCTGTTTTAAAATATTATGACTTTAATTATTTTTATAATTTCATTTCAGACTGTTCATTGCAAATTTATAAATGCAACTTTTATTTAATCTTGTATCCTGCAATCTTGCTGGATCAGTGTATTGATTTAATTTTTTATAGCATATATTTGCAGTACTTAATGAATACATTCATTGTGCGTAATTGGTACATGTACATGACATATCTAAATTCTTTTTATGCCCACTTCCCCAATTCTACCCTCCCTCCTCCCTCCGTCTCAGTTCCCTTTTCCATTTGCAAAAGATCTACCTCCTTGTTTCCTATCATGTATGTTTTATATTGCTCTTTAATTTACTTATACTTTGGGTTTCTCATATAAGAGAAATCACAGGCTATTTAAGCTTGTGCATCTAATTTATTTTACTTAACATTATGGATTCAAGTTGTATCCATTTTTTTTTTACAAATAACTCCAGTTTATCCTTCTTTACAGTAGGATAATACTTCATTGTATATAAATACCACATTTTCTTTATTCATCTGCTGATGGGCATATAGACTATTCTAAGACTTAGGTATTATGAATTGTGCTACTGGAACATGGATATGTGTATATCACTGTCTCTAACTCTTTTGGGAAGGCATCTATGAGGAGAATGAATTGCTGGGTTGAATGGAATTTCTATTTTTAGTTATTTGGGGAACCTCCATATAGAGTTCTACCAGCACTGTAGAGGGCTTCCTTTTATTCCCATAACCTCACCAGCATTTGTTATTATTTGATTTCTTATTGATAGCCATTATGAGTTTAAGAATTTTACCTAATTTGTCTTCCAAGAGATTAAATATTTGTTTTAATATTTAGATATTTGAACCATTTTGATTTTAGTTTAATATATGATGGGAGATATGTGTCTAACTTTAATCTTCTGCATATGGATAGCCAGTTTTACTGGCACCATTTGCTAAAGAGGCTGTCTTTCCTCTTGTATATGGTTTGGTCCCTTTGACAAAGATCAAATGTTCCTTGGGGTTGTTGCTGATTATTCTGCTGTGCTCCATTGATCCAGATGTCTATCTTTGTGCTACTACCATGCTTTTTTTTTTTTTTTTAAATAACTGTAGCTTTGTAATGTGACTTGACATCCAGAATTGTGATGCCTCCTGCTCTCCTCTTATCTAGAATTGCTTTTGGTATTCTGGATGTTTTCTGCTTCCATAGAACTTTAGGGTTGTTGTCTCTGGTTGTATAAGGAATGCTGTTGGTGTTTTGCTTGGGAATGCATTAAATCTCTATATTAGTTTTGGAAGTACGGCCATTGTGAAAATGTTGGTTCTGTCTGTGCAGGAACAGGGAATGTCTTTTCATTTTCTGATGTCCTCTTTGATCTCCTTTTTTCAGAACACTGTAGTTTATGCTGTAGCGGTCTTTTACTTCTTTGCTTTGGTTAATTCCTAAGTATTTAATTTTTTCCTTCATGCTATTGTGAATGGTATTTTTAAAAATTGTCTTATTGGTGGGTTGATTCTTGTTGTACAGGAATGCTATTAATTTTTGTGTGTTGATTTTTGTATCCAGCAACAGTGTTGAATTTGGTTATTAATTCTAGGAGTCTTTTGGTGGAATTTTTTGGGTCTTCTATGTAGATGTTCATATCATCTATAAAAAATAATTTGACTTTTTCTTTTCCTATATGTGTCCCTTTTCTTTTGTTCTTCATCCTTCCTTTTCTTCCTCTTCTACTTCCTCCTCCTCTTTTTCTTCCTTTTCTTCTCTTCAGGTCCTGGGTTTCTCCTAGTTGGTAGAGTTTTTTATTCAATTGCATATTACTAGATTGTTCAGAGTTTTTATGTTTTCTTCTCCTCTTCTTCCTCTTCCTCCTCTTTTTTTTTGACAGGATCTCACTATGGCCTTGAATTCACTATGTAGCCCAGGCTGATAGAACTCTTGGCAATCCTCCTACCTCAGCCTCCTGAGTGCTGAGACTACAGGTTTGTGTAGCCATTCCCAGCTATTTCTTTCTTTTGTCTGAGTGCTCTGGCTTATGTTTCAAGTGTGATAGTGGACATCCTTGTCTTGTTGCTGATTTTAGAGGGAAAGCTTTCAGATTTTCTCCATTCAATATGTTGTTGGTCATTGGTTTGTCAAAAATGGATTATATCAGATTAAGATAAGGTCCTTCCGTAACTATTTTCTTCAGGGTTTTTATCATGGATGGTGGTTGGATTTTGTCAAAGGCTTTTTCTGCTTTGATATGATTATATAATTTTTGTTTCTGATTCTTTTTATGTGATATACTTATTTTGATTTGTATATGTTGAAACATCTTAGGATCTCTGTGATGAAGCCTACTTAGTCATGATGTAGGGTCTTTTTGATGATTTGTTGCCTGTTTGTGGTATCTTGTTGAGGATTTTAGCACGTATGTTCATTAAACGATTAGGCTCTGGTTTTCTTTTTTAGTTGAATCCTTGTCTGTTTTTGGAATCAGAGTAATGCTGGCTTCTAGGAAATTAATGAGTTTGAGAAATATTGGCATGATAGCCTCCCTGAAGATCTTATTGACTTAGGCAGTGACTCCATCAGGTCCTGGGTTTCTCTTGGTTGGTAGAGTTCTTTATGTAATTGCATGTTACTGGATTGTTCGGAGTTTTTATGTTTTCTTTGTTCAGTTTTGATAATTCTTATATGTCTAGAAATTTGTGTATTTCTTCAAGGTTCTCCATTTTGTGGAGAACAGTTTTTCGTAGTAGCTACTACTGATCTATTGGATTTCAGCAGTATCCATTGTGATTTTCCCTTTTTCTTTTTTTTTAATTGGTGCATTTTAGGTATATAAAATGATTACATTCATCATAGAGAATTTGTACCTGTACGTGATATAACTTGATTTTCCCCCTATTCCCCAGCCTGCCCTTCAACCCTCCTCTCCTTCCCATTTACAAAAGCTTTCTTTCCAGTTTTTCTTTTTCATTTTTGCTTTACTTTTCCCTTCTTTCCTTCATCCATCCCCTCACTTGTTCCCCTCCTTATTTGAAGATTTCACAGTCCTATTTCACAATACCTGTTACACATTTTGGTCCTTATTTACACTTTTAGTTTCTCAGACTTGAGAAACAATGTAGTATTTACACATGTATGTCCAATTTATTTCACTTAAGAGTATGGTCTCGGGCTAGGGGTATAACTCAGCGGCAAAGCACCTGCCTGGCAAGCTCGAGGTCCTGAGTTCAATTCCTGGTCCAAAAAAAAAAAAAAAAAAAAAAAAAAGAGTATGGTCTCTTATGTATTTGTTTGCCATTTGTATTTCATTATCTGAGAAGTGTGTATTCATCTCACCTGCCCATTTTTGGATT